CTATAATAGTGGCAAATGGAGTGAAAGTGCATTAACGTCCAAGATAAAACAATTTTCTTGATCTATTCGAAGGTTAACATTTAGTTCTAATATGTTGTTAATTCCTTTGGAGTGTGGTGACGTGGTGTTAAGAATTAAATGGTTAATCACCTTGGGTGAGATCACATGGAATTTTGATAAATTGGCAATGCAATTTTTTGCTCAAGAAAAAAAGTTTGTCTTAAGATGTGCTTCCAAAGACACTATCAAAACTTTGCGAGGCAAAAAATTGGCGAAAATAATTCACACTAGAGTTCATCTACCAATGATACATATATGTGATCAATCAAAGGATACACTATTACATTCCTTGACCACTCATGCTTCTTCAATTCAAAAGAATAGTGTGATTGAAGCTTTATTGTTATTGTTTAGAGATGTTTTTCAAGAACCTACCACTTTGCCCACTAGAAGAGAAAGTTTTGATCATAAAATTCCCTTGGTTCATGAGGTTATTCCAATAAATAAGAGACCATACTTATATGCTAAACAACAAAATGACATTATTGATAAACTCATCTAAGAATATCTTACGAGTGACATCATTCAAAATAGCAACAATCCTTATGTTATCCCTATGGTGATGGTTGGAAGAAAGATGAGTCTTGGAGCTTATGTGCTAATTATGGGGAACTTAATAAGCAATCTATGAAGGACAAACTTCCAATACCATTTGTGGATGACCCGTTTGATGAACTACACGGTACCAAATATGCATGGATCAAGCTTGATCACAACTCATTTGTTAGTATTTTTCCTAGTTTATAAAGTAGAATTAGATTCTTTTATGTTCTTATTTTATTTTATTATATTATATTAGATTGTATTTTTAGGAAAAAAATATGCAAAATCACAAAAATATACTAATTTCTATAATTTAACATAGTTTTCTGTATTATTTCTGATTTCTTCATTGACCAATTTTGACCTTTGTCTCTTCTTTGATTTATATATTTTTCTACATAACTCCGATTGAGCTGATTCTTTTTTAATTGGAAACTAGATATCTTAAGCTTCAATTTGAACACAAATTTGACTATTTTTGGACCTTGGAAATAGTTTTAATAAATCAGAGAATATGGTGAGGGGAAATTGAAGATCCTGTTGCGGAATTCATACGAAAATTAACTCTAGTTAGATTTAGGACATGCTTGTAATTGGTTTTAACCATGGTTTAGTTAGTTTTAACTCTAGTTAACTCACATTTGAACCTATAAAAAAGGCATTTTCATGCCATTGTAGCATACACCGAATTCTATTCTTTAATTGATGTGAAGCTAGTTCAAGTTTTCTCAATTTTGGTTCTTTCTCTTGCTTTCTCTTTAGTGTTCAGTTTAGTTTTCTTTTGTCTCTTTAGTTTCCACTTTTTCTACTTTGTTTAGTATTCTTCTTTCTTTACTTTAGTTATTATTTCAATTCAATTCCGTTTTACATTTGTTCCACACAAATTTCTACTTCAATTCATCACATAATCATAGTTTGTTCACAACGATGTTTTCATCTTTATTCTTCTTCATTATTTTCAATTTTTATATTCTTTTGGCAGTGATTTGAGCGTGATTCTTGTTGTTTTTCAAGTCTTAATCGATTTCTTATTCGTTAAGGAGAAGAAGAATCACGTCTCATTAGTCAATTTCACAAAGTTTTCATGTGTTGTTTCACTGTTCTTATTGTTTTGACGTTGTTTTACTATTTTAATTTTGTTTTTGTTGTTTTAGCTTAATTTATCCAATTTGATTGGTTAGAATCTTGTTCTTAGATGTTGTTTCAAGTTCTTTTACTTTGTTTTAGAATTCAATTGGTTAAAATTCATTTTAGGAGTATTTTATGTTCAGTTTATTCATAACAATTTAGGAGTAGTTTTCAACTTATGAATAACTTTTACATTTGATTGAATTTTTGTCTTTGATTTTATAGAACTTTTTTTTTATAATCCTTTGTTTTTTTTTCACAATTTAGACGTTCAAAACATTAGTTAATAGGTTTTTATGTTTTTCAAATAATTAGAAGTTTGTTTCTAGTTAATCTTTAATTCGGTCATGAGTAGTTTCATGTTTTTGTCCATTTGAATTCTTCAATTGTTACAATTTTTTTAATACTGTATTTTCTGTCTAGATTTAATTCCAAGCATGATTTAATTCTATTTTTGTTGATTTGAAATTGTTTTAGTTGTTTTAGTTTCTAAAATTTTTTACAAACATGTTACATGCACTAGTTTATTATAGTTTACAATTCTAGTATAGTTTTTTATATTGTTTCGGATTATAGGCTTAATTCTTTGTGTTCTAAAACATTTAGAAGCATTTCTAGTTCTGTTTAGCACTTAGTTCAATTCTGTTTGAATTTTTTTAGTTGCATATTTAGGCAATTTAAGTCATAGCATGTTCATATTTATAATTAGCAAATGTTTTAGTCTAATTGCATTTTTCAACTCAGTTTTCTAGAGTTTTGTTGTAGTTTCTACATCATTTTAATTATTTTCTAATTTCAATTGTGTGCTTAATCAATTTTGTTTCTAACTTTAATAATTAATTAGTTTAGTTTTCATTAAATTTACAACATACAAATTTTTTTAGCTAAATCTATCACAAAATTCGTAATTAGTTTTTTTTTTTTAATTTTGGCATCTTTTTTATTTGGTTCTTGATTTATTTTTAACATCTTTAACATTTTTTTACCAATTTCATTTTACTATTTAGTGTTCAGTTCCATTTAAAGTTTTTACCAATTTTCACACAAAATAATTTGACATATTTTAGTTTACTAGTTTAAAATTCCTTTTAGTTGTTTATTTTTAATTATTATTTTTTTACTTTTATAACTCAAAATCCCTATAAATTTACTTAATTTTGTTTTCCATTCAAATTACACCCCATAAAAAAAACAATTTTCAATTTCACTCCATGAATCGATACTTGGTTTACTTCTTACTACATTTTTGGTGAAACTAAATTTTGAAAATCTATGCGACTAAAGATTTATCAAAGCTCATGTGCATAAAACAACTTTTAAAACACATGTTGGACACTTTGAATATTTGGTTATGCCCTTTGTGCTAAATAATGTCCTTGTTACATTCTAAGGGTTAATGAATAATGTGTTTCAGAAATTCCTAAGGAAGTTCTTTTTAATATATTTTTTTATGATATATTGATTTCCAACATTGAACGAACATTTACATCATCCTAGGCAGGTCTTGTTATAGAGGTGGATGCTTCTGATACACGTATTGGTGTAATCCTCATGCATGAACAACACCTGATTGCATTTATTAGTAGGGTGTTGAACATACAACAATAGTCACTCTCTACCTATGAGAAAGAACTATTAGTGGTGGCATTTGTTGTGCAAAAATGGAGACACTATCTACTTAATTCCCATTTTATTATCAGGACTAATCATAGAAGCGTTCAATACATTCTCAATCAAAAGTGGATCCCAACTTTCCAACAGAAATGGCTAGTCAATAAGGCATTTGTTGATGCCTTGCCCAGACAAGAAGGCATAGAAAGCAAAGCTATAATCACACTCACACCTAGTGATTTATTGGACCAATTTAAGCGATCATGGCTGTAGGATATACACGTGCAAAAAATCATACAGGACTTACAATCTAATGCAGGGTCTCATAGGCATTATACATGGTAGCAAGATGAACTTTGAAGAAAAGGCAGTCTAGTAATTGGCAAAGACAATAAGTTGAGGAATGATATTCTTCTCTAGCTACCGGTGCCCATTTAGGGAGAAATGTCAAAGGGTGTTAAATTTTTTGTCATGGCGAGTGAAGTCTATCAAAGATGTAAATTTGACACAAGTGTTTCTCAAAGACTTCAGCAACCTTTCCAAATAGCTAAGAGAATTTGACAACACATCACAATGGCTTTTATAGAAGGTCCACCTACTTTTGAGGATAAAAAAGTCATTTGTGTTGTGGTAGACCGTTTGAGCAAGGTAATTCACTTTATGAGCTTAAGTCACCCTTATTCTACTGTTGAAATGGCACAAAATTACCTTGATAATGTGCTTAAATTGGTTTCCCTGAGTCTATTACCAATGACAAAGACTCATGTCAATTTTGAAAACCTAGACCAAAGTCTAGGTTTCCACTGCTTTAGGGGGTATAGATCCAACTTTCCACTGCCTATCATCCTCTCAAACTGATACGTAGACCAAAGTTGTTAATAGATACTTGAAAACCTTTTTATTATGCATGCGTACAAATATTCCTCAAAAGTGGTCAAAATGGTTATCTTTGGCTAAGTGGTGGTACAATACAACTTATCAATATCATACAAATTAGTCCTTATGAGACAAAAACCTCTAGCTTATCTTCGTTATTGACCAGGAGAATCAAGAAATAACTAGTTGATAGAAGATTGCGGAAGAGAGAAGAAGCTTGGAGGCAAGGAACTAGAAACAATTCTTGACCGCATGACTGTGAAGTGAAACAACAAACCTATCACCAAGGTCCTAGTTAAATGGAAGCATCAATTGCGTGAAGAAGCTACTTGGTGAAATTTTTCTATGACTTCAAAAGGAAGTATACAAAGTTCAATCCTTGAGGACAAGGATTATGTTAAGGGGGTATTTGATATAGGTTCTTGTAACAATTCCGTTATTTTTGTTTGTTAACTTTTCAAAAATAAAAAGGGGAAGGTGTGAATGGGATATTGAGAACCAATTGTAAAACAATCTCTCTTCTCTCTTAATTCAATACAAATTTGGATTTTATTTTTTCATTGGAATCCTTATTCTTTGCAATTCTTCGAGTATATTCTTCTCCTAAAGTTGTCTATATCAAGGAGTTTTACTAGTTTGTGTGTGGTTGGTTTGTGGTTTACTAGACATCATACACACCATTCATGTTTCAAAATGTGCCATGTTTTTTTCCACACACACCCATTATAATCCATTTGCCAAATCACTTTGCAACTTTATCTTTTTAGCCGGAGAAAATAATCCTAAAAGCACTGCAAGTCATCTTCAACAGAAAATAGTCCCAAAAAAGTTATCAGTTCTCTGTAAGCCATCTTCACCCATGCACTAATTGTGGCAGAAGCGAAGGCCAAACACAGGGTAACAATAGGGGACAACACATGAATGAGTATAGCTTTTGTTACAATGTTAAACATCTTACTCTCATTACTCTGCATCATAATTATGATATTTACTCGTGCAGACAACATTTTCCGTTATAATATAATGCATACGATGTATTTTCCAGCATTTAGGCTTGTGCAAATAAATAAACTTCATCAAATCCTTTCCTACAAGAAGCATAAACACATTATCATCAGTAACTTGACACATAGAACAAATTGATTTCAAAGTTTTATAGACATTATGGGCATACCCAGCCTTCCCACAATAAGTGGGACTGTAATTGTAAATGAGATTGTCTAGCAGTTCTTGAGTAACTGGTCTGTTAATGGATTTCCTAGCTTCACTGGTGCCAGACATGCGAAAGTGGAAATATGTTAGCCACCATTAAATTCACAAAGACAGAAAATTTTTTAATCATTTCATTATCCACCGGATGTAACTATAAAGAGTGTCTTAAAAACGATTTTCCGAGCTTCAGTTCGGATTCACAATAAGTAGCAAGTTAGGTGAGGAGACTATAAAGGGTAATCATGAAAACTTTCACTACACTAAAATGGGTTAGATAATAGATACCTAGTGCATATTGCATAATATTTCAACACCAACATACGCAGTAAACAAAGATTCCTTCATTCTTTAACTCTGATTAAACTTTTTAGATAGCCTGTTTTCAAAGAATCATCTACCAGTTCTGCTGCATGAAGAGTAAGTAATGAGCGACAATATTATCACATTGAGCACTAACCTGACCAAAAAATTTGCAGCATACTGAGTTATCTGAATGGCATCCTCCGTGTGTGGAATTCTTGGTGAACCCCATTCAAAGGCATTTTTCTGCAGCATCATTTATGAAGGACATTACATAGCTTAAATAATTAGAGTTTTGCATAATATTTAGGATAGGAAATGAAATTCACAATACTGCAACAGAAAATTTATCATTCACCTCTGGATGCCATTGGAAGCCAGTCACAGGATAGTTCCGTGAACGTACAGTGGAAACGTAAACCTAAAAGAATTACAGAGGCCATTAGATTTCCTCTAAGGGAAGCCAATTATATGCTGTGATTGTGCCAAAAGATAGATTTGCAAACCAACATCACTTCTAAAGATAGAATAACATGGCTACCTTATCATCTTCATCCGTGCAAGTTGTCAAGATCTCGAAAAAACTAGATAACTTCCGATTATCCAGAAGCTTTCCAGGAGAAATGCCATACTATATATATCACATGTAAAATCAGATAAAGTTATATTACCGAATTTCAACTATTAGATTTCAAAGGAAAAAATGTTATGGTATTGGGATTAACTCTTTTGGATTTCCTCCACAGCAACTTGACCCTCCTCTATAGATATAAATATATTCATTGGCTCAGATATAAATATCTTCACCAAATTGACTAGGTTTATCATTTTTCAAATCAATTCTACCCAAAAATCCAGACCAGCCATTTCATTTTGCCCGTTGGTTGCAGTTAAATACTCTAATTGCAGGCAACATGTCCTTAAATTAAGGTCAGATTTTAAGAATTAGTAAACGCATCATGCTGAAGAATAATTTTTTGACTATATAAACTCACACGATGGTTCTGCATGACAAGACAATCTGTACTCATCTTTCTTAACAATTCTGGAGGAAATCTGCAGGAAAGAGTTAGTGTCAAAGTGATTAGATTATTGTATATTTTTTCTGACAAATGCTGAACCTATAAATTTAACACTTTAAGATACACCACCATCATTGTGTAGTGGAAGAAAAAAACAATAACGGATAGAGACTAAACATGTCCGTAGGAAATCTGTAGGAACGAGAGAATTCCATGTACCATAACACTGTTCATATTCTGGCTTCTCTTCGTCTCTCTCTCTTGCAACCCCCTCTAAGTTTTAGTCATCCCTTGGTCTTCACCATATTCTTTCCTTCATCTAATTTAATTTTTTTCTTTTAGATAAACAAATATGCGTACAATCCATTTTACTTTGTCTCTGTCATCTTCACATGTTCCGTTGCTTGTGAAAGAAAGGACCAAAAACTATCAGGAATTCAATAATGCTTTATAAGGCAATAACTTATTAGGCTTTTCATTAATGCAAATGGACTTAAGAAATTTCATAGCATAAAAACTCTAGCTACGTTAGCATCAGCTTTTGCCTTAATGGCTTTGACATTTGGCTACACAGATGTGCTCTTCAAAAGAAAGTAGGCTTACAAATTGGACAAATTTGATAGGGTACAAGAGGAAGGGAACGCAACAATTAGATTCCTACTCACTAGAACTGCTTACCATATAATTTGCCTCCATTACCACAAGTTCCCTTTCCATCCAAGTGAATGGAGTAAGAATGAGCTTGAGTTGGAAACAGATGGGTCAACATATCTGATAGCTAACCAAAATAAACAAGCCAACTAAGTTGAAATCAGGCCAAGTTGGCTAATACCAAGTTTTTTGGTTCGCCATAAGTATGACCTTCATTCTTCAAAGGAAATATATTCAAGAAATTGTTGGGTACTAAATATGTGAGTACCTCTTCCAGTGGCTAATATCTTGTGCTTTATAGGAACTAATTTTCGTTTGTTGTGAAATCATAACTGGTTGTCTTAATTCTGTAGAAGAAAAATTCTCTCATACATGAAAGTCGGTACGATAGCTTCCCTCAATAGAAGAGACATAACAAAGACATGGAAATAACAGTTTTTACTTTTGTTAATATAGAAAAAAAAAAAAAATCATTGACGGTGAAGAGAAGTACAAGAAATTTGAAGGATGTGGAATTCTCTGTAGCAAAAAATTGCTAATTCAAAGCAACGTTAATATAGATCAAATATCAATGAAACAAAATTGATCAATGCTCTGCAAAAATGTAAATGGATGACTGATAAAAGCTTTTAAAGTGGTTTTTCCCTCAACTTTTAGCCTGTCTTTTCCTTAACAATAGAAGGTCAACCAATTAGCTTCTGTGAAGGCTCTGTATTTCGTCTTTCCTTCATTAACAAAAACGCTAATTTTATTTTTTTGAGCTTTTCCAAAATTTTGTTCGGCCCAACTTCTTCTTTTAAAGAGAATAGATGCCTAAAATTATTGGTCAAATGCTACCTAAGTTCAAAGCTCAGTTCCCAACTTCATTATATGTCCATTGAGGGATCAAAGTGCAACTTCAGAAACACATCATTAGCATAAATGTGCACCTTTGAAAGACAGATTCTTCGATTTTTGCATTCTCCACAAATTGAATAGTACTTGCTTGATTTGATGCACTAAACTCTTCAAGAATATCATTGTCCTATTATAAGGGAGAAAAAGAAAACTTGAAAAGAAAGAAAAAAACAATAGAACTAGAATAATACATTGTTAAATAGTCCTCAACTCATCTCAAGTTCTCAACAGTTCATGAATATTCTTCACAATGTTTAACATAGCACAACAAATAAAATTTACCAAATTGATATAAAAGCAAAATTTTCAACTGTGCGTGATGTGAATTTGAAATCCAAGAGAAATTATTAATGACAATGTTTGCAATACAATCAACATAGTAAAATAACATAGATACCGTATTCACTTGAAGAAAATAACGCAGAAAATTATACTGTAGGGCCTAGAACTCATTTAACATATAACTTAAAATACTAACAAGTACAAGGTATCTTATTTATCTTCAGACATTTTCCTCTTGGGAAAAGAAACTTACCTGGCTTATGATCATCGTTATGAGTTCAAAACCTAAGCAAACTGCATATAATGGGAAATGATCTCCAGCATCATTTTTCTCTAAAATTTTCTGCACAGAGAAATAAAACTTGATGCATGAAGTTCTAAAATTGAAAAAGTACATGTATCAACAAAGCATTCCTCAACATATTGAAAACAAATTTATCTAACAAGAGTACAAATAAAATAAATGCTAACAAGTAGCGAAGAAACTATCAATCTATTTCTCAGTAATAATCTTACACCATTATTCACATTCCAGATTCTAGGAGTCTCAATTTTACTCAGATGCAAAGAGAGTTTCCAACAAATGCATATTGGTTACTTAAAAAATAAAAAAAAAAGACAAGTCACTTTGACATCTGCATCCATATCACCCTCGGCATTAGACAAAGATAAATAGATACCTTAAATATTTTTGTAACAGTTTCAAAATATAAACCACTTTTAGCCCATCCACCAGTGAAGAGAACCCCATTTACCAGTTCGAGCTTCTGCAAATGAGTGCAAAACGTAGTCAATATCATCAGAACATTTATACATCATTATTGAAAGAAATAGGGCTAATGTTACATGCATCTAGAACAATTTTCTTTTCTTTCCAATTTTTGCAATTTCATACCATAACCTTGCAGTATGTACTCACCAGAAATTTCTATATGTAAATTTCTTAAAATTAGGAAGAAAAGAAAGTGGATACACAAAAGGACCCCATAAGCATGGGCGGATGATGGCCCCAAATTTTCTTAACTATATATAATTTTAACTCCACCTAATTTTTTTTTCATAAATAAAAAAATGAGTAATTAAATATATTAAATAAAAAAAGTTTATAAAAGATTTTATATTATCTTATTTTTTATATTCTATATTTTCTCGTTCATTTTAATCATTATACATTATTTTAACCCTCAAAATAATTGATAAAAATCTACTACCAATGAGATACCATCATGTTACTAATCCAATTGTCAGTTGAGTGTATTCAATTCTTATAAATAAATAAAAAATGCATTCAAGACAGTTTGATACTAAATCTGCTAATTAGTTATGAAATAGGTACAAAAGTTGTTTAGCCTTGTATAAAAGCATGCCATTTACCTAAAATAAGAAAAATGATAAAAAAAACATTCTTTTTAAAAACCTTTTTCACACGTTCCTTTTGAAAAACATTTTATTATTCGCTAAAATTTATTCGAAAGATACAAAATTATAAGTGTAATTTATTTTTATAAGAAATAGACTATGGGTAACTGTTAAATTTTATCCAATATAAAAAATGAGTGGTGTTCACATTATTCATATATGTGAATAGAGATTGGGCCTGGTGGAGCCCAAATCTAGGTATTAGTAAAGTGGGGGCTAGGGAGAAGTCAACATTGGGGGCGATGACTTTAGCTTGTTCTAAAGCGCTATCAAAACCTGACTTAAACATTTTAGCACATTCATCAGATAAGTCTTCAATGTGTCAGGCCTGACTTTCTATTTGAATGTTTAGATCTTCTATTTTCTTGTTACGGTCACAAACTTTGTATTCTGCTTCTTCTAAAAGGACCTTATATTTTTTCTCGTTAACCACATCATCATCTCGCTCTTTCTCTAACTGAGGGAACTGATCATGTAATTTGCTGAGTTCATCCTTTAGAATCTGCATTTGGATTTGAGTTCGACTGAGCTCTTCTTCTACTTTTTTTTCTTTCTCTTCTTTATCTCGGGCCCGTTGTTCTAGTATTACAAGCTTTGTCATTGTCTTGTGTTACATTGGGCTTGGCTTAAACAAGTCAGCTCCAATGAAGAAATATCACTTAAAGTTCCACAGTCAGCCTCTAGCAGATTATGAAGCTTGTTATGATGAGAATGATTGAAGGATGTGTCCCAGAAAAATTTTCCTTTAAGGGCTAAGGACCCTACGAGCCAGCTGCCTCCTTGGTCATCAGTTGGAGGTTGAAGATGACTAGTGGCTTCGGTCATGACCCCTCCTAATTTAACAACTGGAATTGATATAGTATCATCGCGTTTCTTCTTTATTGCCTTCTCATGCTTTGATCCTGAATTGCTTTCCTTCTTGTTCTCAGCTTCACTCTCTTTACCTTCTAAAGCTCGGATCCTTCGATTAAGAGCCTTCTTGGACAAAGACATTTGTTTTTCTGCAGAGAAGTAATTATTATTACGGACTTTAATACATACTTTACAGGATCGAAGTAAAAGGGGATGAAAATTATACCTATAAAGAGTTTGAAGTCTAGAGATATGCACTCTAATTTAAGAAGTTGAGCAGTATCGAAGATTGTTTGTAACTCGTCAAGTAATGTGCAATTTTTGACATCGGGGGAGAGCTCGTCCAATTCGAGGGGTATTTGGCCACATGGTTGTTCAGTCCAATATAGGGGGAATCCCTCTAGTAGGGTTTTCTGGGTTTCGGGGGCACGAATTTTTATAAATTTGCCTTTAAAATATTTGTAAGATGATTGGAACTAAGATAGAAGTGTTCGGCCCCTACACTACTAACGGATGCCCAAGAGGTCCGTTTAGAAAGGCGAAATTCAAATAAGTATAAAAACATAGATATTCGGTTCAAAACCGAAATGTTTACATAGGATGAAAAATCCTCAGATAAAAGCCCAGCTATTAGGGTGGAATTGGGCCGGGGCCACATTGAGGGTGGTCATGACCGATTTACTAAAATCATCAAAGGGTAAGCAGATTCCTAACTTCATAAAAAGAGTATCATACATAAAAGAAAGGATCCGAGTCCGATTCTTGGTTTCTACAAACAGGTTCATTAATCTCACAGGCTTGTACTAGAATATCACTTTCTTTGTCAAAACGGCTTAATCCTTGAATATTACTAAATTATCTGAGTTTCTTGCTGCTAGTGTAAATGGTAAATTCATTTAGGATATCAGATTTGGCCCAACGGTATAAGGATTTGTTATCCAAGCTGCTAGAGCTCGCACTAGGGAGATGGGAAGAAGAACGTGACATTAATATGATGGGCAGATAATAAAGGTTCACAGAATAGAAATAGAACAGCACAGCAATCACAACATAGAGGAATAGAGAGAAACAGAAGAAGCATGTGCACAGGAAACGAAGGCGAACCATGAACAAAGCAGTATTACGCAATACTAAATGAAAGACAGAACAGCAAAGAGAGAAATGGGAAGTGATACCTAAAAAATTCTAAATAAGTTCAAAAGACGAATGAAGCATAAATTGTTGAAGTTGTGAGGTGCGAAGACAGGAAGAGAGAGGAAATGAAACTATTTCAGTAAAGTTATTTTAAAAATAATATATTTATTGTTGATCTTAATATATAATAACCTTAAAATAGAATAGTGGTGGAATGAAAAAGTATCACAGTAAATTCATAACTCAATAATTTCTAATTATATAATGGATTAAAAATAACAGTGAGGGTGACGGTAAGCCTTTACCTTCAAAAGCTTCTCCGGCGGCTCGTTGAAGATGAGGGGAACAACACGGGCGCCGGAAGCCTCCACGAACTTGACGTAGGAGGCGGCGATGTACGAGCTGCCAGTGGCGTTGCTAAGGCGGCCGGAGGCGCCGTCGCCGGGATGGCTGACGATTCCGATGACCGGCTGGTTGTAGAGGTTGGGATCGGGAGCAGGGCAACTCGACGCCGAGTCACGGCCGAGTTGACCGGGGAGGAGGATCTCCGAGCGGATCCCGCCGGAGGGAAGAAAGCAAACGAAGAAGGCCAGGAGGAAGAGAACCCAAACGACGTCGGTTGACATGTTGCAGAGGCGAGTCAGTGAAGTGTGAAAAATGAAAACGGAGGTATAAAACACTAACATTTTGATAAAAAATATTTAATAGATTATTTTGTTGTTTATTAAATGTAATCAAAGGACCATATTCGTGAGATTTTTAAAAATTGTAGCTGACGTGGATCAGATCGGATGAATGTAGGGTTTGTGAAGAGGAAGAATTTGGAAAGGATGGTGGGGTTCACTTTGCAGTCTCTACACCTAGTTAAAGAAAAATAAGGTGTATCATTAGATTTTTTTAAAATAATATTCAAAAAATTAATTATTAAAATAGATGATTTCTATTTTATTTACCTAAATATAAGATTCGGTTTCTGAAATATCGAATTCGAAATTAAAATTTGTCACTTGGACCAGAATAGTAGTTAAAATTTGGTTATGTAAAAATCAAATTCTGAAATTTATTTTGATTTTTTTTTATGAAAGTTTTATATATATATATATATATATATATATATATATATAATGATATTGATATAATTAAATATTATTATATTTATATATGATAATAATTTAATAATTATATATTTATATAATTAAATAATTATATATATAGTTAAATATTTAGATATTTATATTAATATATTTTATATATTTATATAAATATATAATTATGTAATTAAATATTTATATATTTATATATTAAATTTTTTTAATAGTTATATATTTATATATTTTCATTATTTATATATTTATATATTTATACATTAAATATTGATATAACTATATTTTTTATATATTTAAATTTAAATATATTAGTATGTTTATATATATATATAATTAGATATTAATATATTTATATATTAACATATATTAATATTTTTATATTTGTATATTTACGTAAATATATTAAAATTATTTGATTTGTTACTGTTAAGTAATATTAAAAGTAAAAGAAAGTTGATTTACAGTTCTTCTATGTTATTAGTTTAAAAAAATATTATGATAATATTAAAATTATAAAAAAATAATATAAAATTAAAAATTTATTTATTAAAGTAAAATATAAAGAAATAATATATGATATATAAAATATATTAATTTTGTGAATGAATAACGTTAGAACAAGTTACTTTGGTAAGATAAACTATGTGGTAAAGTGAACAAAGTTTTGGATAAGATTGGTTTTCATGATGTCCATTATTATTTGACTTGATTTTGAATGATTTTTGCAGTTCACTTCAATTTTTGGTTTTTTGTTCAAAATTGATCCCTTATAAGTTGACCAATCATCTTCACTTCTTAATTCTCGAAATAGTCTGTCATAGATCGACTTGTGTTAAAGTATAAATAAAATATATGTAGTTGGTAAAATAATGATGTGTGTGTTTATAAATAGTAATTACGTGCAAATACATAAATGAAGTTTTTGAAATTTACCACAGTTATATCATGATTCGTCTAATCTTACTACAAATTAGCATATTGGTTTAACTTCTCTTGGATTGAAGGCTTCTTCTACAAAAAATCTTGTACGCATTCGTTCAAACTATGTGACTATTTATCTTTGAATGTGCATTGTCTAAAACCTTGACTAACACTTTAAGATATACATGTCCAATTCATGGTCACCATTTGCTCTATCTTTTTAAGTGAAGAATTTATTGTAACGTATATAAGTTGTTATCACCAATGAGAAAATAGGAAGGTTCCTTGTCTTTTTGAGGATCGGAAATTTATTGACTTTGCTAAGTTGATGGTCATGTGTCTCCAACATCGACTATTGTCCCATGTTAGTGTTCACTTCTCCATTGGGATTTCATCCAACTATTTTGTTATCTACAAATCTTCATTTCTTATTATGTTGTAATAATAGAAGAATGTGGGCTCAGTCATTTCATACATTATTTACAAAACAATTGAAATCAATCAATTAGTAGGTACTTGAGTTAATTGAAAAACAATGAAAATAATAAGTTTAGAAAATAATAGAAATTACTCATGTTGACAACATCATTCTTAAGTAGACTTTTCTTGATCTCCTCATAAAATTTTGTGCGATGTGTCAAATATAATACACATGCATAAAATTGTTTTCAATCCAATTGTTGCCCTCTCTTAAGTAAGCACTTCATATGTATTTATGGGGTTAAAAATGAAATTTCGTCCATCTTATGGGATGATGTATTCTTCAAAAAGAAGAACCAAATTAGTTGTTTCTCCCTCAGTCATAATTGGGATCACAACAGGATGACAAAAAATAAATAGTTAAAAAAAATAGAGTGTTATCATAGTTTATTAAAGAAAAATATTAAAAAAAACTTAAAAAAAAATGGTCTTTAAAACTAGATTTGGATTCCAAAGTCAATTAAATACATGATCATACATACCCTTATGCACACTATTATATTTGTTTTCTCCTAACATTTGAGAAAAAAGAAAAAAAGAAAAAAAAATTTAGAAAATTATTTGTTTTTGTCCCACAATAATTAATCTTATTCTTAGATTATTTCATTGGTGGTTGAATATCAATAGTTATAATGTTTTTAACAAATCATAAACAAAAGCATTTTGACAAGAACTTTCTTAATAATGTTTTTAACTGATATAGCTTTGAAAGAACCGATTAAAATCACTTAGAATGTTTAAAGAAGTGTTTTTACAGTATTTTAATCGATACAAACTTCTTTTAATCGATTAAAACCCTTTAAAACTCTTTATGACCGATTAGAATTCAAATATGAGCGATCAGAACTCTTTTAATCGATTAAAACACGTTTCAATCGATTAAAACCACTTTGGAAGTCAGGATGATCGATCAGAATGAAATTATGACCGATCGAGTTGGTTATGATCGATCAGAATTGAATTATGACCGATCAGACTTATTTCAATCGATTAAAACAAATTTCAATCGATTAAAATGACTTGAAAATTTTTGTACGAGTTTCAATCGATTAAAACACATTTCAATCGATTAAAATAACTTGGAAAATTTGTGTACTGAGTTTCAATCGATTAAAACGTATTTCAACCGATTAAAACAACTTAGAAAAATTCTATGCAGGTTTTTAATCGATTAAAACTTCTTTGTATCAGTTAAAATAACTTGAAAAGTTTTATAAGAAAGTTTTAAAGTAAATCAATCGATTAAAACGCGAATCAATCGATTGAATAACACTTAGAAAATGTTTGTAAAATGTTTTAAGCTGATATAAACATGATTGTATCAACTAAAACAATTTCGTTAAAGAAACAAGAACGCATTAATGGGTTCAAAGGACTTTTAACAGATTATAACGACTATTTCAACAGATTAAAACAAACTTTCAACAGATTAATTAATGCAGTAGATTTGAAAATTCTCTTTAAAAACAGTTTTGCTTGAAATTTTTAAACAGAGATTGTACATCGAGTTTTTCATACATCCTTAAGCAATCAATCAAGCAACTTTAGCACTTTTTCAAGAAAGATTCGCAGCAGTTTTTTGAAGTTATTTTGAAAATCTTTCTTGAGGCAACTTGCATACTTTAAAGAAGAAACTCTCTGCAGATTTGGATAAAGCTGGTTTGAGCTTTCTAGTTTCTTCTTTGTAAATTCTTTTTCATTACTTTGTATTGTGTTGTGCCTGGAATTTGGGCACAAGTTTTCTCTGCAGCTGGAAGTTGGTTGTGGAGGTTATCAAGAACTGGAATTTGGTTCTTGGTGAAAGGTTTGGTGCCTAGAATTTGGGCATTGATTTCTCTGCAACTGGAATTTGGTTGTGGAGGTTATCAAGAACTGGAATTTGGTTCTTGGTGAAAGGTTTGGTGCCTGGAATTTGGGCACTTGGTTTCTCTCGCAATCGGAATTTGGTTGTAGAGGTTATCAAGAGCTGGAATTTGGTTCTTGGTGGAGAGGTTGAGTACGAGAACTGGAATTTGGTTCTTGTACTTGTGTGGTGCCTGGAATTTGGGTACTTGGTTTCTCTGCAGCTGGAATTTGGTTGCGAGAGGTTATCAAGAGTTGGAATTTGGTTCTTGGTGGAGAGGTTAAGTGCAGGAACTGGAATTTGGTTCTTGTGTTAGATTAGGTGTAAGATTGTTGAATCTGTAAAACATTTAATCTAGTGGAACCCAGCTGGAATTTGGCTGGAGACTGGACGTAGCCCTGGTATTGGGTGAACCAGTATAAAATACCGGTGAAATCTTTCTTAACCTTTCTCTCTTTTATTTCTGTTGCTGCGCTTATATTGTTTGATTGCTTGGTAATTCAAAAAGATTTTTAGAAACTTAATTTTCGAATTAGATAATCTGAGATTTGCGAAAAACTTTCAAAAGATCAATTCACCCCCCCTCTTGATCTAAAACTACTTTTCTAACAAATGTTTTGAAATTTTTGTATCTTTTAAAGACATTTGTATTCTTTGTTTTTCTAAAAAAAAGTTGTAAAGTATAAAACAACGTGATGACCGAATATAAGATTATACAAACGATTGCAGGAGAAACTATTGAATGTTTTTATAAGATTATACAAACGATCTTACGTACAGTATAATTTTGTTATGCCTTCTTCTTTTGGCGTCTTTTTTTCTTGATTGGTGTGGTCAAGAGAAGAGTAAAAAGTAATCCCAGTACTTTGTTATTATTTGGGTTGCGGTCATCTGGTCTATTTTATTGCATCGGAACTGTGTGGTCTTTAAACAAGGCGTTTGGATCGATTGGAGTTGCTTGACTCTATTCGTCTATATTCTTAGAAGTGAATCTTTTCGGCTGATACGAGAATGTCTTTTAGTCTTGTAGACTGGTATAATAATCCTTGGATCTGCTTTGTTTAGTATGTTTTTATGTATTTTGAGTTCTTTTATTGACTTTTGTCTACTTTGTAATGTACTCTGTTTTTGGGTTTTAAATACCCTTTGTACTGAGCTTAATTGATGTTATTTGCTTATAAAAAAAATATAAATACCTTTGTTTTGATGAGATACTTGATGACGTATGAACCATACTCTTATCTAAAAAAATTATTTAAAATATCTTCAAAATAGTGAACGCTAGGAGAGGACGCGACCCATCGTGCATCTAACTCACTCTATAATCTATAAAAGCCACTCTAATACATAAAAGTCATTCTTTAATATATAATGACATTATAAAATATTGAGTTATATCAGTGTAAAAGGTACCAATATATTTGTAGAGGGATGGTTAAACCAATAAAATGAAAAAGGGTTTTTGGAAGGTGCGATTTGGTGGCTAGGGCTGAGGGTTATGAAGAGGGACAAAGTTGGAGAAAAAGGGCATGAGGGAAAGAGTGTGAGATGCGAGTGGGGGCATGACGATGATGGTGGAGGAGGAGATACTGATTAGGGCATGGCGAGAGTGCGGTGGTGCGAGTGAGAGTAAGGATCGAGGGTGACTAGCTCGCAGTTGCCAATGTCGAGGATGCAGGGTGCGATGTGGTAATGCACGGGCTAGGCTTCGATAGGGATGGTGAGGTGTAACAAGTCCCACATTGGGGAGGTCTCCTTACCAGGGAGGCCTTATAAGGTAGGAGGTTCTCCAACCTCTTGAGCTAGCTTTTGAGGGATGGTTCCCCTCTTAGCCTTATGGTTGTTACATTGGTGCTTTCGTTGAGAGTCAGCCAACTCGAGAAGGGCTACCCACGGAGAGTTCTGACCGTCGGAGGGTTCTGACCACTGGAGGGTTCTGACCGGTAAGAAAGCCGAGTAAAGTGCTAGTGAGTGAAGTGTCGGTGAGTGAAGTGTCGTGGAGTGCAGCCATCGAGGACGCTGGCTTTCGAACGGGGTGATATTGTAACAAGTCCCACATTGGGGAGTTCTCCTTACCAGGGAGGCCTTATAAGGTAGGAGGTTCTCCAACCTCTTTAGCTAGCTTTTGAGGAATGGTTCCCCTCTTAGCCTTATGGTTGTTACATGAGGTGACGGTCACGGTGGCTACAAGTGGCGGTTCGGGATGGCGTGAAGCCTGTCCGGGGGTGAGTGACTGGCTAGGACCTAGATTTGCGGCTGAGAGAGTGCGGAGAGTGAAGGTTGGAATGAAGGGGGCGCAAGGTGAGGGTGGAGATGAAAGGTGCGGTGGCCGTGGGAAGGGGACAAGGGTGAAGATGGGGTCGTAACGTTGAAGTGAAGGAAAAAAGGAAAATGTGAGGGGAGAGTGAGCGTGAGGTGCAGATGAAGTGAAGGTAATGGAGGTGAGTGTTGGGGATGATGGTGAGAATGAGGGCGAGAGGGTTCAAGAATGGGGTGGAATGGAGGTTGTCGTGTAAGGGCAGATGAGCCCCAGTAAGGGAGAAAGGAAGGTAGGGGAGAGGAGGGACGAGGGTGCCGCGGTGGTGGACTGAAAAAAAAAAAAAGAAAAAAGAAAGGGGGAGTGATTGGGAGGTGAGGCTCACGGAGGTATGCTGGGCTGGAAAGGGGAATAGATAAAAAATGAAAAGAAAAGAGAAGAAAAAATAAAATAAAAGGAAAATACTTGTGTTTTTTATTTTCGTTGATCCAACTCTTCCAAGTTTGTGAAGTTTTCTTCTCTCCTCCTTTCTTGTATTTTTTTTTTTTTCTCTTTTGTCTTGTTTATGTTGTTCTTTATATTTAGAGAGGACAAGTGATATAAGAGAAAGTGGGAAAGTGGAGGTAGAGAAGTCACGAAGAAAATGGGTAGAGGAGTTAAGTTATATAAGAAGATCGTGAGTGTGTGTAACTATCGAGAGGGAGAGAAAATAGGAAGTTGGAGTGGGAAGATATTTTATTTTATTTTATTAATAAATATTTTAAACTAAATATATATAACTTTTTAATAAAATACCTTTTTAATTATATTTTTTATGTCATTAATTTAATTATGAGGATGAAATTCTCCTCTTTACTTAACTTTTACTAGATAATATGAATTAGAGTAGAAGATAAGTAAAGATAAAAATATATATTTTATTTAAATTTGAAATTCATGACTATTGTCTCCTTGACTAGACTTTAACGAAGGATTGATGAACATTAGAAGCTTGACTTTGAATGTAAGTGCCAATTAGAAAAGTTGGGTTTTAATTACATGTGCAAGTTGGAAAAGTTGAACTTTAAATATAGGTGTTAGTGAGAAATGTTGAATGTTGGTGTCAGTTGGATGTTGGACTCTAAATGCAGCTAGTAAAAAAAACTAGACTTTAAATGTGGGTGTTAATTAGAAAATATGAGTTTTAAATGTTGGTATCAGTTGGATGTTGGGCTTTAAATGTGAGTGTCAATCAAAAAAGCAAGCTTTAAGTATTGATGCTAATCAAATGTTGGGCTTTAAATGTTGGTGTCAATCAAAAAAGTTGGGCTTTAAATGTAAGTGTCAATCAGATGTTAGGTTCTAAATGTGGGTGCTAATTAGAAAAGTTGAGTTTTAAATGCAAGTGTCAGGAAGATGTTGGGATTTAAATATTTGTGCCAATTGGATGTTGGATTTTAAATGTGGGTGCCAGTAAGAAAAGTTGGACTTTAAACGTGGGTGTCAGTAAAAAAGTTGGGCTTTAAATCCATGTGCCAGTTAGAAAAGTTGAGCTTTCAATGTGGGTGTTGGTAAAAAAAATTGGGGTTTAAATATTGGTGTCAGTCGGAAACGTTGGGTTTTAAATGCTAGTGCCAATTGGATGCTGAACTTTAAATGTTGGTGTCTGTTGGATGCTGGGCTTTAAGTGTTAAAACACAATGATGCATATATGCATAAAGTCGAAATTTATTTTCTTATGATTTTCTCTTTTTGTAGGAAGACTTTATTTTTGGAATCAAATGTTTCTCTTTCAATTATCAAATTCATGTAAGTTGATCATTCTTCTTCGACTCTCGTTTGCGTAATTTTATTTTACCTTGAGCATAAAACGAGGAATGTTATAACTCTTTTGTAATGTCATAATTGAGGTGTGATATACAAGACATTTTTTCAAAAACATTACTTTGTTCTCATGCTACTTGAACATAGGTGACTAGATGTGTGGAATATGGGTCTGGGTGATTATTCCACTTTGTGATAATGAATTAATCTTGATATAGACTAACTCATAAAAGGTAAGGAAAAAATGAGTGGACCAATTTGTGGAAACTATGATGATGAAAGGTTATATAGGAGGATTCCCCTTTTTACAATTCTTCAAAAGGAGAAATCTTGTGAGGTGGGGCGATAAAAACCAAAATTGCCCCAATTATGGAATATAGGGGAAAATTATATGTTGAAATAGGTTAAGGGAAAAACGTGAAATGCCCCCTTATAAAAGGTTAAGTGATTAAGATGAAAAAGATTTTTATTTTAAGAATGATGACATGATATGAATGATTTCCCCCTATTTCGGGGTGACATGGCGATATGGGTTGCCCCCCTTTTAGTTGTATGATAGAAAGGATTGCCCCATTCCAGTGGCAATAATTATCCCCGTTTTGATAGCGACATGATAAAAGGATTGCCCCTATTTTAGAGGTGACATAATAGAAGCAAAAGGATTGTTCCTTCACCTGACTTATTGGCTATTTGAGCCGAGACACTTTAACTAGTTTGCTCTCTCTTTTTTTTAGGTTTTTTTTAGCGACCAAGTCCTTAGTCAAGACATTTTATCATAAGATCAATCATTGTGAAAACTAAAACAATTAATCCTCGATCAACGTGGACCTTTATTAGGCTTGTAATGTGGTTACATGTTAAGGACTATGAAAGAAAGGATTAAGACTGAAACGAGTGCTTATGGGTTATTTGTAACAAGGATTCTTAACTAAGAAGTGTATCATTTGTAATCGAGATTTTATTTTATTTTTTCCGATTTGTCACCACTTTGTGATTTTCTTTCACAACCTTTTTAGGTTTTTTACTCACTTTGCTTCTTAATTGATTATTTTTCTTCTACTTTCTATTTTTCTTTATTTTTTTAATGCTCAACTGCTAAATGCACTTGATGTAAACACTGAGTTAACTTTGATGTAAGCAAAATCCTTGTTTGGGATAATTTGACAAAAAAAAAAGGCTTAAAAGGGTAGTCTTATTTTATTATTTGTTAATTTTGGTTTTGGATAAAGAAACATGGTCATGCATCACTTCGAATCATGATTGTCTTATTTTCACACATATTGATCCTATGACAAAATTGATGACTTTAACAAACATCGCAAATTTTTTTATTTTTTGGTCTTACCTTTTGCCTAGACTGCCTTTGTAGGTTTTCAGTCTAGCGGACTTCATTTTTATGTCTCAAGCATATAGAAAAAAAAATTATTTGAAAAGAGATAAGTCATGGAAAACTTATATGGGGTTGTTTCTTATTTTGGGCAATGATAGTATCTACTAGGACAAATTCTGTCATACTTAGGATGAGAAAGGCTAGAGGAGTTCAAGTAATATGTATATGAATGCTTCTGAAGAAATGTTATTGCATAACATTAGCCCAGAAAGAGACATGATATTCCAAAATACTATTTTTCGATTCCCCTTTTTTCTCTCTTTTTCTTGTTTATTCATGGATTTGATGATTAATAAGGGAAACAATTAACCCAACATGCAATTATATCTATGTGTTATTTTTATTTTTTTTTGTATTTGTGACTGTTGAAACATACAAGGATATGAAGCTTGTAGATTTTGATGATGATTCAAGAATAAAGGACTTAAAGATTTGAAGACTTGTAATGTTATGTAATAACTCTGTTTTTATGATTTTGAGTCTGTAATATTAGAGTCTAAGATATCCAGCACATAGTCCACTCTTTAAAGATTCTAAAAACTCATTTTTATCAAAAACATACTGGATTAATCGATTAAATGGCAGGTTAATAGATTATTACAGAGAGAAAACCATTTTCAACGTCTGCTCTCTGGAATAATCGATTAAACCCCCTGTTAATCGATTAACTGGGCTGTTAATCGATTAAATGCCTAGTTAATCGATTAAACTGAGCTATTTTGGGTTCCCTGCGAATTTGGCTCTGGAATAATCGATTAATACTCAAGATAATCGATTATTTCAGTCAAATATGTGTTTTGAATTTCAAAATTGGACCAAGTTTCGAAAACCCTATTCCCAATTCATCTGATTTCAAAAATCCCCAATTCCCAAAACCTAATCTTTCTACTAAGGTTCTCTAAAGCTCTCTGCAAAGTGAACAACCTTTTTCAAACGAAAGTTGAGAGTTGTGACTGCCAGAGAGTTGTGACTGCCAGAGAATTGTTTGTTGGAGGAAAAAGGGGTTTTTGAAACCTAGTGTGGGCTAGAAGCGATAAGAATCACTGAGTGGGTTTTCTTAGTGGATTGTGTGTTGTGCCGTCTATAGGGAAAACTGTTCTTCATCCTTTGTGGGATTCAAAGGAGGTGTTCATCTCTTGTGTGACTCAAGAGAGGTGTATTATTTACCTTATCTTTTCATTTGTAATCTGATTGTATAACTGTGATTATAGTGACAACGTTAATCCTCTGTTTGAGTAATTAGCAACTAGACGTAGGGTCTTTTGATCCGAACCAGTATAAATCGTCTGTGTAATACTTTATCCTTACTCTATTTACTTTACACAACATTTTAATCGGTGAAATTTGGAGAAAATTTTAAAACCCTAATTTTTTGTTACGAAACCAATTCACCCCCCTCTTGGTTTTTGTCCGTAAACGCAAACATTCCGCTGCGTGATTCTAACAAGTGGTATCAGAGCTTGCTTTGATAGTCATTCAATTTTTGAAAATGGTCAGACAAAATCAAACGTTTGCCGATGGTGCTTCTATCAATAGACCCCCACTTTTTGCGGGGCAAAATTATCCGTTTTTGAAAGTTAGAATGCAAATATTTTTAGAGTCTGTTGATAGAGGTGTTTGGGATGCAATTTTAAACGGTCCCTTTATTCCTAAAGTTGCTAAAAATGGATTAGAAGTACCAAAACCATTTTCTAGATGGATGACTGAAGAAAATAGGAAAGTCCAATATGATGTTGGGGCTAGAAATATTATTTCATCTGCTTTAACCCTTGATGAGTTTTACAGGATCTCTGTTTGTAAAAGTGCTCAAGAAATGTGGGAAATGTTAAGAGTAACCCATGAAGGTACCGA